TGCCTAATCTGTTGCGATTGGCCATCAGAATTTGTTAATCTCCTAAAGAAAGAAATAGATAAAATCTGTCAGTAAATGCAGCTTTGACAGTAACATAATGGTCTCCTTTTATTGCTCCCATTTTTATTCTGGCACATCTTGACATGTTTATTCTATTTAGTTTACATTATGAGTTAATGTCCATGAAATAAAACAAGAAACAAGTGTAGTTATTTAGCCAGGCTAGATATCTATACAAGAAAGAAAGATTTGATCATGATAAAATAAGGTTATACTGAACAGGCGTTCATTCTGATAGTCCTTAGATAGTCCTTTTTGAGGCTAAATAGAATTCCAGCACCAGGTGCGATGAGCAGATATAAAAAGAAGCTGCAACATCTGCTGGCAGTACAGCGAACCTATCCAAAAGCCAGATGGTAAATGCTCCTATGACACTCTGCAGTTGGTCTCTATAGCTGGCCCTGGTCAGCCATAGCCTGTCCCCTCTCGTGCTTTTTCACCGTCAGGCTTCTCCATGTCTTCCTGGAAGTTGTCTCTGGCTTTTTCATGGACAACTTAGTATGTGAAATACCTTGTTTTTAAGGGGTAGATTCATACCTACTCCTCATTATGGCACCTACCCCTACATGCAAAGAGGAATTGGGACATGACTACTCTCATGCAAAACATTTAGAGGTAGAACTGAAAATTAGGGCTAGAAGGTCTATTGGGACTGGCCCTAAGAATAGCATTGCTATCACTAGTATTGGTATTAATAAGGACATTATTGGCCACATGTGAACACATCGACAGCTTTACCATCATCCATATTCCCAATTTTGTTTGCGTTTCATTACATTTTCACACTCTATGCACATACTGTACATCATATCATACATATACATGTACATATACGCACCAGGCTTTATTTTCTAGCAAACTGAGAAAAAAACTAAGCGTAATACACAGAAATATCAAATAACACACCAGAAAAACGTGATATTCTTTATTTTCTTTTAATGCAACCAATAAGAATTATTGGTGTAATAAAGTGGAATAAAAAAGTCAAAAAATTTTACTATCTACATTTTAACAACAAATCCCAATTTTTTGTGGAGTTTGGCTTCCTCTCTTAATAAGGAGTTGATTTGTCCTCACCAAACTGCTGTAGGACTAGTCACTCTTTGGTAGTCTACACAAGTTCATTGGACTGGGATAAGACTTATAATAGCATCGTCTTGGGAAGGCTGTGGGACTTAAATGTGTCTGAGTGACCTTTATGTGTCTGTTGGCAGGAGTTTTAAACTCTACTTCCTGTATACAAACTTTTAGATGTTTACCAAGTCCCACACACCTGGATTGAATACATGACTTATCTTTTCAGGTACAAAGGTTTTACTTAGGTCTGGTAATGACCTATTTGTGTAAATCGTGTGTTGAATGTTCCTGTGCATGGTCACACAGCTTAAAACGGTCTTTCACCCCCATTACACTTCAATCTGAAACAGGGCAGCCTCTGCTGTTGTGGGAATCAGGGTTTCGCTTTCTGTGAGGATCATATCTCTGAATCATTCAGTCTTTTTAAAAAAGGAATGTGGGATGCTTTCACAGCAGGCACTGTTTCAGAGTCACAAAGCTTCTGGGCGTCTCAGTGCTGTTGTGTCACCGAGCTCTCCCTGATTTATCTATTCCACTTGTCACCATGGAGACGGACATCCTACCCCCCCCCCCCCCCCCCCCCCCCAATAGATTCTTGCTTATTTAAGTGTGTCATTTCCCAATGCTGGCGTCCAATAAAAACAACAACCAAACAAACAAAAAACAAACAAACAAACAGGTGTGTACAGATTGATGGCCTTTTTTCCACTGTCTTCTCACCACAGATTTCCCCTGATCCTGCAGAGCCACGAGGAGGTGACTGGTTCTGAGAATGCGTAATGACTTCAGTATTACCCTCTCAGGCAGTTTCATTTCGTATGAGATCTCAATAACCCCTGCAGGCAGATGGTACATATTCCGCAAATTGTCGCACGTCTGGTGTGACAAATAGCAGGCTTCTCACCTTGGGGCATTGTTGACTCCTCACAGCAAGACTGTTTGTTATTAAAAATCCGAGTTCAGACGAGCTTGACACCTCCCAGTGCAAAGGATGCTTTCTCTATGAAGGAAATATTTTATTGGCAAATCCTGGGTAGTGTTATATCCCTTCTCCCTGTTGCTTCCTACCCCACCCCAATGAAGGAAACATAATAACAGGAGAAATGATTATATGTGGACCACAGAGTAGCATTCAGAAATGTGTTTGCTGTAGTCTGCCTCCGGTGTAAATGCCAAGGATCAGTTCTCAGCGGACACTCTTCTGCCCAATGAATGATTAATGAGTTAAACTGTGTCCATAACAAGCCACACAAGCAAATGCTCCACCAGTTAAGTCAGTGGTGTGTCACTGTGTTTCATCAGGAGGTCAATGGCTTGAATTCGGGATGATTTTAATGAAACTGTATTTGCAAAACATCTATTGACCTTCTCGTTTATCAATGGACGGCATAAGATGACCCAACACACCGGTTTGTTTCCACACAACTTCTGAAAGCTGTAACTTTACTTTATGAGATACACCCAGTTAACAAAATGTTTACCACCACCGAAAACGAAGGAAATAGATTCTTCTTTCTAGCTAATACAAAATCTATTTTTTTATTAGACCACTATTTGCCGACATGGCATTTTGACAATTGGCTGCTAAATATGTTTCAGTTTTTTTTTTTTATGAGGTGAGATAACTGACAAAGGTGCACATGCATAATAGATACTCATACAAGCAGTTTTATTTAAAATACACATACATAAAATACATTTTATGTATGCAGAATCAATGTCATGAGACCCATAATATGTGTCAAGCATGACAGCATGCTCCTTCTGGGAAAAGTCATCCTTGCTGTAGGATGAGGGACTTACAATAAACTTGGAATTTGCCTCCTTTCATTTCCAAATTACCAATATACGGTAAGCTAACAGGTGTACAATTCTAGTAAAAGAAATGTATTATACGAAGTGGTTGTGAATTAGAAATCAAGAAGATTTCAACACTATTCTTCCTTCTGGGAGTGTGATCCTTCTGTGTGGATTACCGCCCCTGTCTTTGTCACGTTTGGCATTTCTTCAGTCTGAATGACAGTCCGATGTCCCTGCAGTGTGGATCAGCAATCCAAGTCGCACATTTAACATAAATTAAATATATAAGTATAGTTTGTCTCCTTTAAAACAACATGTCATGGTAAGATGCTTCTAAATGAGGTTCAAATCCACCCATGTTAAACACAGCAAGGGATCAGAGTTTGTTTCATTAGATCTATTATACTTCTATTATTTATTTATTTTTTTTTCTGTTGTTTTTCCTTCTGTTATTTGAAACCCAAATTTAATATTTTCTAATTTCTGCTTCTGCTCTGTATGATTGCAGCATGACATGTGAGCAATTTGTAAAAACCTTAAGTGGATTTCAGCATAATTTGGCATCAGTAAAATATATGAATGCTGGTTTGTGAAGAGATAATGGCTGGTTTCATCAAAAATGATGCAGTCTAATTGACTTTAAAAGGATATTAAAAAGATAATTGTAGAACTCCTTCACCTGCAGATGAACTTTAAATTAGTATAATTCTTCTAGTTAGTCTCATTATGGATACACAGCCTGTAGCATCCCATCATTCAAGTCAATACCATTAAAAAGAGATAAGGAAATAAAAATTGCCAACACACAAAGTAGACTGAATGCCTCCGTGCTGGAATATCACATTAGTGATACAAATGCAGCATTTCTTGATGTCACCTTAGGTAAATTTGGTGCGGAAACCAATCAGATAAAACAATTCAATACAACTCAGCAGCCTTTGCTTTAGTTTTTTCCTTCTGTGGAATCAGTAACGGCTCAGGGGTCACAGGAATTCAACTGCTCTAAACACGTACAGATGAATCTCCTTGAAGCTCATTTACAACTTGATTGTTTTAGAATCTTATCTGAAAATTTATTTAAATGAGCCTTAAAACTCTTTAATCCTAGCTGATTTTGGTGCATGTACCTCTGAAAAAAAAAAACTATGCCTAATCACAGTTTAGAGATTTATTCTAGATTTGTTCCAAAGTGGAATGTTTCAATCTAGCTTCCATTCGATTAGGTCAGAGTGGGATTTTAAGCAATTAGACGGCATGAAAATACAAATATAACAAGACTTGAGTTATTGGACCAAATATGTAGAGAAGTAAAAAAAAAAAAAAAAAACTACCTTCATGCTTTACTTAGTTCAATTGTGTGGAAAAATGCAGATTTTCTTCTTCTATGCTTGTCTATGCTATGTCTTTACTGTCCCCAAACTTAATTTTATAGTAAAATGAAGACTTCCAAGCTTTATTGCACAGATTTAAATGGAAAATACAGTTCAATAGAAAAAAGTAAAAGTAAACAAAGTATATCTTTAAGAATTAATATGTTTAAATCATGTGTCTGGGGTTTCCTGAACTTTTCAGGCAGAGAAAAGCAACTAAACCCATGAAATAAACCAGGGTAATCAAAAACAACCTGTCACAACCTGTCTGAGAAAAACTACAAATAATGATGATTAATAAGGTAAAGGATAGAGTCTCGGTTCTAAACTCTGCGTATGCGGGAGGATACAGTTTTGAAAGATCAGACTCTGGTCTGGATCCTCCATCCAATCAGCCAATCAGAAGAACTCTGAAAATTCAGTTCATAATAATAATTGAATTTTATGGATCTCTGCATTTAAGCCATCCCATTGGGCAGCAGTGGGCTGCCATTGTACGGTGCCCAAGAAACAATCCAGGGTTAAAGGTCTTGCTCACAGACCCAGAGTGGCAGTCTGCGGGAGTGGGTTTTGAACTCACAACCTCGGAATTTCATGCTCTATTCCCTAACCACTAGTCCAGCATGCAGTAACTCAGGGTTTTTGTAGATCTTAACTGGTTTCAATCACTGACAGCTTACCTGTGTTTTGCAGCCGCTCACCAGCAGAGAACAGCAGCGGTTCAGGAATCAGAACTGGCTCAGCAGAGGGCAGAAAGAAAACTCGGATGAAAAGGTCCAGCTAGAACAAAACCAGGAGCTATTTCATTTGATCGACAGGCAGAGAGTGCAATTGGAGGTACCAGCAACAGGTGATGCTAGCTTTTAGCTCCAGACTTCTTTAAGAATGGGAGGCGGCAACTTCTCCAGCAAAGTGGGAGTGTAGCAATTCTGGAGTTTCCACCAGGTGGAATGTGATGAACATTTCCTTGGGGTATTTCCTTTTACTACCAGGATCCCATAGAAAGTGAAGTATACTTCCTTTGATTGGTTAAAAAAAAAATGCAGTCCTGGGGATGGGACGTCAGCGGAACGGCTCTGCTGTGGCCTCTTAGTTTCAAGGAAAACATCTCTAATGTCCTCCATCTTCTCAATAAGTTATATTTTTGCTTTTTTTCTAAAAACCCCTGATATTTTACAATCTTTATTTGACAAACTACTTGTATAGAATTGTGAACAATACAGGAACAATTGTTGAAGCCAAATATGATACAAAAATATATATGATATTTCCTGTAGACAAAAGATACAGTTTCATTTCTAATGCTGACAGCATTATGACAGTTCTGCTCTGCATAAAGAATTGCCTTAAGGTACTTTGCAATTGTTATTCAATGTGCAGCAATTTGTACAATTAAAACATTTAGGCCGCTGGGGCTACTTTCTTCATTAAGCCAGTTACTCACACAAAAATTCAATTGTCCTGGTCCTAATTTCTTCTTAAATACCAGAGCTGTTTGGATATCTAACACTTATTATGGCGACCACAATTCAGCCGTTGGTTAGATGTCCATACTGTTTTGAGGTATTTGGTAGTCCTTCCTTGCTGAAGAACTTGAATTCTTCAGGATCAGTCAATGTTTAAGCTTAAGCTTGAACCAAGAGTGGCGTTCAGTTATATTCATGTTTATTTTAGAATTGAAGCATAATGTTTACTTTGAATACAAATGTAAGCAGAAGGTGTTCGAATAGTCTTTTTCTTTTTGCTTTTCTCAGCTGCAAAAATATATTTATCTACAGTAATAAATAAGGTTGAATGAAGGAACTCTTGAACTGTTAAATTTATTCAGAGGATGCCTTTTGTGAAGTCCAGCCTTTCATCAAGGCTGGACTTTCTGTGAATATCAGCAGCTTAACCTCAATGGTAATATCTCAATGGTATATAAAAGCTTTAAAATTTCATATTTAGTTGTATTTTTTTCCAGCTCCAGCTTTTTATTTATTTTCATTACACTCTCACAAGTACAGAGCAACAAAATGAACTCTGCATTTAACACATATCTTTGGTAAGCAGTAGGCTGCCATTGTGCGGCACCCGGGGAGCAGTATGGGGTTAAGCATCAGATTCAGGGACCCAGACTCTGTGGGAGTGGGGCTCGAAATCGGAACCTCTGGATTCAAAGTGCAATGCCCTAACCACTGGGCCAGCACTTCCCTCTGGGGGTGGACTTGTGATTTGGGGGGTGAGAAAAAAACATGGTGAAATTATTACATATTTAGAACATGCATAAACAAAATCACTGTATTCTTTTTTGCAAATATATCAAACACTTCTAGAGCAAGTCCATCCATCCATCCATCCATCCATCCATCCATCCATCCATCCATCCATCCATCCATCCATCCATCCATCCATCCATCCATCCATCCATCCATCCATCCATCCATCCATCCATAGTCTCCTGCTTACTTCCTTAGGTTGGCGGGGTGCAACCTGGACAGGTCCTCCGTCTTTCACAGGACATCACAGAGATGCAAAAAGACATACAACCAATCTCACGCACATACACAGACCTAAGGACAATTTAGAGATGCCAGTTAACCTAACGGTCATGTTTTTGGACTGTGGGAGGAAGCTGGAGTCACTGGAGAGAACCCATGCATGCACAGGGAGAACATGCAAACTCCATGCAGAAAGAACCCCGCCCAGGGAAATGTATACAGCTGTCAAAAATGTTAGTATATTTATCACTCTTTTTCCTTCCCCTAATTCCTTTTTCTCATAGAACCTGAATCCTTGAGAAAAAAAAAAAGTCTTAGACAAATTCCTGTTTTCTGCTTTCAATTCTCATCAGGTGCTAAACTGATGGTGCTGAATCAATACATGTTAAAGGAGTACACGTTTGAATCTCAACCATACTTATTTAAGAACATCCAAGGAACAGTTGTGCTTTTTGCACGCGTTTAGGAGAAACACATACACAGAAAAAAAAGAGGTAATATATGTAATCCAATCCCTCGTCTCTTTATTAGATCATCCATTTACTAACAACCAAACGTGCTTTGTTCACAAATACTTGCCTCAGGATAGGCTTCTGCACATGTTTGCATGCATTTCGATTCTGGCCTGGCCATGTCATCCAGCAGGAGGAAGAGTCTACCTCCTGTAGTCTGAGAAAGCCTCAGGCACCCCCACCCCCTCTAACTTAATAAATAAGTAAACACATTGAACGATGCAGAGAAACAGACGGTAAAATTCCCAGCTAGAGGCCTGAAGATTTTCTTTCTTGTGGAGGAAATGTTGTTTAGAGGTTGGTGATTTCATAGCGTACTTTGAGTGAATTCTATTAAGATTTTCCTTAGTGTCTGGAACTTTAACTCTGCACTAGAGATTGCATTTCACTGCCTCAGTCAGACTTGGAATAACTGTCATTAGATATTGTGAAAACTGAGTTTTATTTTTGCCTGTATGTATTCATATAGATGTATACTCTTTATGTAATGTAAAAACATGTCACATTATTAAGTATTTTAAGCAGCAAATTGGCAAAAGTACAAGGGAGTGTTATTCTGGTAAACTCTTATCTGTATTGTCTTTGTTCTCAGCTGAAGTAATGGTGGGAACCATTAAGTATTTTCCCGCAATTTTACCTTTTGAAATAAAATTGGAATTGCAGGTGTTGGGCTGTTTCAAACGTTACCTTGGAGATAGCAGCAAATTATCTGACAGTCTACTTTCTTTAAGTGGTCCACTTATCTTTTCTTATGCCCAAGACATCTCAGAATAGATTGTTGTGCCGATTTCTTTTCGACGAGCTTGTAAGTATGTCTCAAATGACATGTTACAAGTAAAAACATCAGCCTGAAGGCCTATGGAACATAATAAGAAAAGATACAAAACAAAAAACAAACAAAACAAAAAAAATATACGTAATATGAATAAAGTTTTTTGGGGGGGATACATCTTCTAAATAAAAATCTACATATCTAAGATATTTTTAGAAAGACATGAAATCTGGCAAATAATGTTTAGATATATTTTGATGAGAAGTTCTCTTAAGAGACAATCAGCGCTTTACATCAGACCCACTGTAAATAAATGTAAATATTTTATCAGCGACGGCTAACTGCATCTATGAGTGAATTTACTGAGTGGGGCGACAGTGGTGTCAGATGCAGGAGTGGGCCCTGCAATCAGAGGGTTGTTGGTTCTAGTGTTGTGTCCTTGGGCAGGACACCCGCGATGCGTACTGATGATGGTCAGAGGGCCTGATCCACCTGGAAAAAGAACATCCTCCATTATACCTTTAAGTACTATAGGAAAGTAAATGTACTTAGTATATAGCTAAGGAGTTCTGTGTATCATGTCCCCCGAAGTTTTCACAGGGATTTAGGGTCACAAGAGCAGAACCTAAATAATTTTTTATTATGTTTTTTTTTTATTATCTTCATGTTCATCATCAAATTTAGAGATCTTTAAAAAAAGCAGTAATTGACTTAATACACATTGCTTTAGAGCTCACATTTTACAACATGGGGATAAAAAAACAACAACAAAAAAGCTACAACTTTTATCATAGATGTCACTCTGTAGAGAAAACTCACCCATGCTGCCTTCATATATCCACAGATCGATAAAATGCCAAGTTGTGTTTCATCATTTCTTTTTTTCTACTGCTAAAACTTCCATCAGGGAGAGCAAAACGTGTTTCTGGCCCAAATCCTTATTATCCGGCCCAAATCCATGTTTCGTGGAGTACAAATCAGTCCATCTGCACTTTTTTCTTTTTTACAAACTGTTGACAAGCTAATGCTGCATGCAGAATAAATAACAAACACAGGACAGACTATCTTCTACTGTTTAAGATAAATAAAAGAGAGAAAAAATCTGTATTTTGAGGGTCTTGTTACAATCATAAAATTTAAAAAATTACATCAGCTATCTGCATACATCAGGGTAATTACTTCTGGATGTGCACAGTCATTAGAACTGTACATGAAAACTTCTGGCTTGGATCCAGAGACTGAGGAGTATCACCTTCCTTCAAGCACACTAAAACAGCATTTGAAGGGATCATGTCATTAATATTGTTGCAGAAAAATGAACTGCAAAGCACCGATGTGTTATTTTCCAAACAATCCATCATAACCTGTCCTGCTGCCCGCTCTTCTGCCACACCCACAAACACAAGTGTTCTTCTGGGTTCATGCACGGTCTGGATGTCAACAGGCAAATGAACAGCACTGTTTACCAAATGGCTTTGTTGTTCAGCACACAAGCTTATTAATTTGGCATCTCATTACAGGCGCAGAGGAGCCATTTTTTAGGAAATTAATTGCATCTTTTTGAGCACGCTCTTGTCATTATCATTCTTCGCTGCATATGGATTAGCTATGACCATAATAGCCCTAAATATTTGTATTACAGGAAGCTTAGACGGGGTTAGTAAATGAGCCACAGGCGTGACTATTTTGGTGTTCACACAGAGGCTGAATTTCAAACAGTAGCCTTTGTGCAAGCTGTGGACATCCGGCTCCAGGTGCTTCCTGCTGAATAAATAGTATTGCCAACAGTTAGTACATCTATTCAAAAACGCCGGTCCTCTTGTGTCTTTCCGTTTCTGAAACTAGGGCAGCTCCCACTTATTGTGCAGATGTAAATAGACATAAATTGTATGGAGTGAATTTAGTTCCATTAGAAGAACAAGTTTTGTAAATTGAAACTTGAAAAAATATGTGAGACGGAACATTTGATCTGGGCTTAAAGAGATGCACATGTGATCTGTAAATTTTGAAAAGAATGTAATACATAAAGCTAAATCTGAAAAAGAAAATAAAAAGAAATCCAAAGAATTTTTTAAAATAATGAACA